GCCAGTACTGGGTGGCATTTGAAGTTTTCCAGGCCCAGTACATCCTGGTGATGTTGCCATCCAGGCAGGAATGTTTGGTGCTGCTGGGCAGGTTGTAGCAAAGGCAGTGAGCCCAGCATGGACCAAGGTTCAGCGAGGGGGTCCGGCTGGGTCCAAGGTCTTCTCTGTCCAGATGGAGACCCACATGAGAGGCAAAAGAAATAAAGCCAAGCTCGTCGCTCATGTTTTGCAAAGAGCTGCCCTGTTCACTCACTAGGACAGAGCTGAGATGTTGGAGAGCAAACAACACCCACCTCTGTGAGTGTTTCACCTCTGTGGCTGAAGCCACCATAGGGCCACCCACCACTCTGGAGACTGATGCTCTCCCCTCCCCATGCACTCCGGATACCACCATATACCGTTCAGCCCTTACCCAGTGTAAGATCCAGCACAGCAAGGCTCAGCAGCAGCACGGGCAGCCCTCCTGTCCCCCTAGACATGTCCAAAGCCAGCACCCCCGTGTCTTGCAAGGTGTGGACCTGAGGACGCAGCGCGTGGGGATGGTGCTGGTGGGGAACTGCGCTGCCGAGTGATGGCTGAAGGTGGCTGGAGCTGCTTCCTCGTTCCCGGGGGCAGGGAGGGGAAGCACCAGCGGGCACTGTCTCCCCTCCCCGGCAGGTGCAGCGCCGAGGGCGCGCCGGGGACATCGGGGCAGCACCTGCGCAGGGGGCGGGGGGCGGTCCCAGGCGCTGGGGGCACGCCCCTCCCTGCACGAGGCCACACCCATGACCACGCCCTTTACACACGCCCACGGCTTGTGTAACACTGGGAGGACCGCGTGGTGCCGGGTAGGGAGCGGGATCGGGATCGGAATCAGAATCAGGATTGGGGTCGGGATCGGGGTCGAGGTCGGGGTCGGGACCCCTACCAGGGGATCGGGGACCAGGAAGGATCGGATCGGAAAACGGAAGGGGCAGGGCACCGTTACCCCCCATGCCCCAGGACCAGGATGGGCAGGGGACCAGCATCCTCCGGGCTCTGGGGGCGGACTGGGATGCGCAAGGAAGCGGGAAAGCTCGGCAGGGTCTCGTTTCCTCTCGGAAGTGCAGCACGGTTTTCTCTTGCAGCGGCAGCTCCCAAGCACGGTGCTCCGGGCGCTGGCACGGGCGGTCCTGAGGATGCCGCGGGGACAAGGGAAGCGAAAGGCCGAGGTCACGGAGGTGCCTCGCGTGTCTTGGAGGAGGACGGAGGAAGAGGAGGCGATGCAGGAGGCCCGGCGGAGGGCGGCCCCGTCCGTGCGAGAGTTCAAGTACAACAAAAAGCGGGTTCGCCTCGTCTCGCAGGGCTCGGACCTGAAGGATAATGCTCGGTGCATCCTTTACTGGATGTGCCGGGATCAGCGGGTACAAGGTGCGAACCAGCTGGCAGAAGGGGCCGGGAAGCAGAGCTCCCATGGCCCTGGTCCCTTCCCCCGTAGGCCTTGGACCTGGCTCCCCTCTGCAGGGGCGTCTGGGGAGAAACTTCTTGTGAAACCCCATCCCCATCTCTTCAGTGAAGCATCCTCCTGACACTGCCCTGTGTGATTTCTCCCCAGATAACTGGGCTTTCCTCTACGCCCAACGCCTGGCCCTCAAACAGGAGCTGCCCCTGCACATCTGCTTCTGCCTGGTGCCCAAATTCCTGGAGGCCACCATCCGGCACTACAGTTTCATGCTGAGAGGCCTGCAGGAGGTGGCTGAGGTACAGCCAGGGGTTGTCCCTGCTGGGTGGGACCAGGCTTCTGGGGAAGGGGGGAGGCAGATTCATCCCTTCAGCAGATGGTGGTTGGCTGGGGTCTGCAGAGCTATGAACTGTCCCATAGCCCTTTCCCTGTCGCTGTAGGAGTGTGCAGAGCTGAACATCTCCTTCCACTTGCTGCTGGGCTACCCCAAGGACGTGCTGCCTGCGTTTGTGGTGGAGCGTGGTGTGGGTGGGCTGGTGACAGACTTCAGTCCCCTCCGCCTCCCCCGGCAGTGGGTGGAGGACATCAGGGAACAGTTGCCAGAGGATGTGCCATTTGCACAGGTGGGTGTCAGCACTCTGGGAAGGGAAAATTCTTGATGGTGAGATGTGGGAGAAACTTGTCTCCTGTGTTTTGTGCACTGGAGCGACTTGAGCAGAGAGCATGTGTGTCATGTCATTTGGGACCATTTGCTTCGCGTCACACTGTCTCCATGGCTTTGCTTCCCAGGTTGATGCCCACAACATTGTGCCCTGCTGGGTTGCCTCCCCCAAGCAGGAATACAGCGCCAGGACCATCCGGGGCAAGATCCACGCTCAGCTCCCTGAGTTCCTCACTGAGTTCCCCCCTGTTGTTCGTCACCCATATCCCCCGTCCTGCCCAGCAGAGGTACCTGCAGGAGACACCTCCAAACCCATTCACGACCTGTTCCAACGTGTTTCACAGCTGCTTTGTGATCCTGGGAGGGGTTGGCAGGGGGTGGGGACAGTAACCTGCCTGAGGTCATACACAGATGGTGTGGAAATGGGGATGCCCTGGGGAAGGGGAGGTTCCCACCTCATTCATTCAATTCCAACATCTCTGCCATGCAGAGGGCTAGTTAAGAGGAGAAGGCTAGCATGGGGACTTGCTGGTTGGGGACATCCAGGGGACATAACATTCTGGGACAGTCCTGGCTGAAGAGCATCTGCAAATGCACTCACTGCTCAGTTGCCGCCCAGCCCATTGCTTGGGAGGCCTGTTATTCCAGCTTGCAGGTGGACCACACCATGAAAGAGGTCGACTGGGCAACCCCTGGCACAGCTGCAGGGCTGGCTGTGCTGAAATCCTTCATCACAGAGCGGCTGAAATCCTTTGGCTCCCACCGGAACGACCCCAACAAGGCAGCTCTCAGCAACCTGTCCCCATGGTTCCACTTTGGTGAGTGTCCCAGGCTTTCCACTCTGCAGTAGGACTGAGCAGGGTGTCTTGGACTGGCAGCCTGACTTGCTCCTTCCCCATGTCCCCAGGCCAGGTTTCCACCCAGCGAGTCATCCTGGAGGTGCAGAAGCACCGGCGCAAGTACAAGGAGTCGGTGGATGCGTTCGTGGAGGAGGCCGTGGTGCGCCGGGAGCTGGCTGAAAACTTCTGCTACTACAACGAGAACTACGACAGTGTGCAGGGTAGCATCGGGTCATGTGGGCAGTGCTGGGGGCCAGGCTGGTACCCAACTGGTCACTCCAACTTGGCAGTCCTATTTGTGCTAGGAGAAGGGCTGTGGGGGCACTAATGTCCCATCATTTGGCCCCTTCTGGAGGCAGGTGCCCTCAAGACTGGTGCCTTCAATAACCCAGCTCTCCCATCTCTTCCTTGCTACCCTGCAGTGGCAGGTTGCTCAGTGTTGCTCCTCATCTCTTGCTCACAGGTGCCTACGACTGGGCACAAACCACCCTGAAACTCCACGCCAAAGACAAGAGGCCTTATATCTACAGTCTGCGGGAGCTGGAGCAGGGGACCACACATGACCCACTCTGGAATGCTGCCCAGGTACTGCCCTACATCTTCCCCACAAACTGCTGAGCTTTTTACCAAGGGGCAGAAGTGACCTGGCACAGACTGACCCCTACGGCTGTCCCTATCCCCCTAGCTCCAAATGGTCCGGGAGGGGAAGATGCACGGCTTCCTGCGGATGTACTGGGCCAAGAAGATCCTGGAGTGGACCCACTCCCCTGAGGAGGCCCTGAAGTTTGCCATCTACCTTAATGACCGCTACGAGCTGGACGGGAGGGACCCCAACGGATACGTAGGCAAGCTGCAGGATGGGGGCACAGGGTGGGGGGTCTTATCTGTGATGGCCAAGGCTGCAGCGGTGGGGAGGGCAGGGCAGGGGCTCTCTGCAGGCAGCCCAACCCATACTCCAGCCCATCCTGCTTTGCACCCACATCCCATTTGTTCTCCATGTGCCTCCGAGCAAGGGGAAGAGCTGACGCTCCATCCCCATGCCTGGCAGGCTGCCTGTGGTCCATCTGTGGAATACACGACCAGGGCTGGGCAGAGCGGGCCATCTTTGGGAAGATCCGCTACATGAACTACGCCGGCTGCAAGCGCAAGTTTGACGTGGACGAGTTCGAGCGTCGCTATGCCCCCACACACTCCCAGTGACAGGCACAGCGTGCCTTGAGAGGGCTCATGCCCCTCTGTGCTGGGGCAGATGTGCCTTTGCCAAGGTGCCACCCTGCAGAGATCACCCAGGGCAGGGATCACCCCGGGTGCTCTTGGAGGGCTCGCTGTAACAGCAGCAAGCCCCAGGGTTTTGCAGGTCTCTTCTCTGCCATCACCCCCTGCTCGAGCTGCCATGCTGGAACAGCTGCTGGAGTCCTCTGGAGTCCTCTCCTGGGAGCTGTGAGAGCCCATGCTCAGTGTGCCTGGACTGCCAAAAACCTTTTCTACAACCACCACGCTCAGGATAGACCAGGTCACCGTTGCTGCTGCTAAGCACAGCTTAGATTTCAGCTGAGCAGGGTTTTTCTGGGGAAAAAGCTCTCAGAAAGTGGCTTGTGGTGGAGCCAGTGCTGGGCTGGGTGGCAGATGCATCTTTTAACAGTTGTTTTAAAGTTTACAGTTTCTATCACCTGTGGTGATGGTGTTTATGGGGCGATGCACAACACTGCTGCGAGGGAATGGGAATGGCTGGGCTGCATGGAATGGGAATGCAACCAGGGACAGAGCAGCCAAGGCCATGCCCCTGGGCCCCTCTGCCAGCAGTAAAGGCAGGCTGAGGAAGGGGACAGGCATTACAGACAGCCCCTCACGCAGTGGCTTGTACCTCCTGCCCTAAGTCCAGTGGGCAGTTTGCAGGAAGAGGCCACAAACCAGATGAATTAGCCAAGGGGCGGTGACAATAACCCCCTCCCAGTGACATCTGGGGATGCATCACCAGCTGCACCAGCTGTCCCCCCCACTGCTCCCTGCCATCAGCAGCACTCCCTGCCTGCCCCATGAATTCAAAGCGGGATACACACCATTACCCCACCTGAAATGTCACAACACAACTGAACCCCTTATTAACTTAGTTTATTAAGGACGGCATTTTAATTGCTATGCTGTGCAACAATAATCCCATGGGGAAGGCTCCAGCTGACGGCTGGAACAGCCCCCCCTCTCCCTCACAAAGAGCTCACTGCCTTGGCCAGGCCCAGTGTTAGTTGTAGCAGTCAACGCTGGGCACAGTCTTGCCCTGGAGACCTCTGCCAGGTTTGCAAGTCCTGCTGCTTCCAGACACAGTCCATGGCGGAGGGTGGAAACCATAACTAAGCCAGAATTCCTTCCCTCTTTCAATGTACTCAGTGCTTCTAGAAAGGGATGCAGGCAGCCACTCAGCTGCAGTCCCATGACAATAAAGTGCTTCAAACAAAATAGGGTGAATGGAGGTGTGCTGCTGAGGCAGCTCCAGGGAAGGGGGTGGCAGCTCCGGGCAGCAGCAGGAAGGCTTGGCTTGGGGTTGGGGACAGGCAAGACTAAGGCAGACCAGCATCTGGTAGCCCTAGGGCTTGCAGAGATAGAGTGAGCAGAAGAGCAGCTGCTCCACTGGGGAAAACAAGCAGACACAAGACACAAGGCGGCAAAAACCCCAGGGGAGCAAGTGGGGTCTGAACCCTGTTTCTGGGACTTTGTCAGGATGCTGCAGGCAGGGGAGATGCTGCTGTGCAGCAGCCTGGCCCCCAGCAGCAAGGCTTGCAGCCACCCTCCCTGACCAAGCCCTGCAGCCACCTCTCCTGGTCCCAGCCTCTTCCCCTCTCCCCAACCCTGCCACCCCCACAGGAAGAGCCCACAAGGAGTCACATCCCAGCCTCGAGTCAGGGCACACACTGAAAGAGCCACTGCCCCTCGATGCCTCCTGCCAGTGCGTTGCTCCCCAGTCCCTCAACACCCTTCTCGCACGTACACAGGCCACACCGTCCTTCCAAACACTCCACATCCCACCCATGCCAGGGTGGTCCTGGACACTCACCCGTGCCACGGGCTAAAGCAGTCACTGCACCACAGAGGCACCTCCCTGACTGACCGCAAACCCCAGGGCACAGAGCTCACCTTGTACCTCTGGGTCTGACCCTGTAGGGCTGTCAGTCATGGCAGGCAGCTCTGCATCAGCAAGGGACCAACCCTTTGCAGCACCCCAGTGCCAAACCCCTCTCCCCCCATGCACCCCCACTGCAAGCAGCCTGCCCGGTCACCCCACTGCACCGCAGCTGGGAAGCTTGGAGGCTTTGCTTGGCTCAGGGACCCCTCTCTCAAGGGGAGCAGGATGTCTGCTGGGAGAGGGGACAACTGGCAAATGCCAGCTCCATGCAAGGGTGAGAAACCAGGAGCAGGACAGCCCTGGAGAATTTATACTGGTGAGCTGCAAGCAGATTGCATGCCCCTTAAGGAGGTGTTTCAAGCAGCACCTCCTCGCAGGGGAACACACAGTTAAAAATACAAACAACCACATTAAAAAAATAAAACCAAATCCAACAGATTAAAAAACAAAAACCCAACCTAAAAGAACAAACCGAGACAGAGGCTCAGGGGATGCGGCTGGAGGGCTGGGCCTTCACCTGCATCCCAACAGGTCTCGGGCAGAAGGCAGCTGCACACAAGGCAGGACCTGGTGCCACCAGAGTGAGGTCCCATGTCACCCTTAGAAGAGGACATGTCCCCCCAGGGAGGACAGACTGGCAGCATGAGGACAAAGTAGGTTGGAAGCCTGTATCCCATGGAGGCAGATCCTAATAGAGCCATGGGGATCTGCCTGCCAAAAGCCTGTCAGCACCAGTCCCCGTGGGTGGCTGCTCCAGGGGCAATGTCCCACTGCAGCACAGGCTGTAGGCAGGGGGCAGGGAAGTCTGGTGTCTTCATCATTGCCACCTCCTCTGCTCTGATCCTTGAGGGACAGCAACTCTCCACCAGTGTCCCACACCAGCTTTCAGAAAGGGAGCTATTAAACGTACAACCAACCCCCCATCCTTCCTCCATTCACACAAGCCCCAGAAGCAGAACACAGGATCAGAGAACTCGGAGAGTTGATTCCCTCCTCCAAGGAGCAGATGTGGCCAGAGTTTCCTGGTGTATAGATGAACAGAAAGTGATAAACAGAAAGTGCTGACCCTTCAGGGGACCCTGCTGGGCTCAGAGCAGGGCACGGAGACAGGCACCACAGCGCTGCCTTGTCCACCATGAACAACTGCTTGGAAAAAGTCTCTGTTCTGCCTGCAGGACAGGCAGGAGCAGCTGCCTTTCCCCAAGCAAAGGCATCAGGGAGTATGAGCAGTACCTGGAGCAGATCTGGACGATGGAATGTGCCCTTTTCCCAGCATAGCACTACTGCATGGGGGAAAACAGATCCCTTCAAGACAGTGCTCCAGTCCTCCCAATAGTCCTTATCTCCACGTGGCTCAGGCTCTGGTGACAAAGGCCACACACATAAATAAACCCACAATACACTCCTTGGCTGCAACTTGTTCATGTGGCTGCCACTGCCTCCGGCTGCTCCAGCTCGTCTTCGTAGTCCGAGATGTAGGACTCCATGCTCTGCTTGGCCATCAGCTCTCTCCGGGCTTGAAGGCGCTCACAGCGGGGACAGTGCGTGGATTTGAAGCAGGATTTGTGGTAGCAGGCTTTGCACTCTGGGGGGAGAGAGCATGGCAGAGAACTGGTAGAGGCAGATAGACTGCCTGACACTCCACACTGCAAGTCCCTGGACCAGCTGCAAAGCTTTTGGGAGCACAGAAGCTCTGCACAAGGTCCCTCCCCAAACTTTCCTGAAATCCAAGGAAACAGTGACTTTGGCCCAAGTTTTCCCTGGTACTGCACCTACTTGCATGTTGTCAGGAGCCATTTTAAGCCAGTTCAGAGATTGGTCCCAAGCTGCAGGGACAAGCTCTACTCAGACATTAGTACTGGGCAGTATCAAGGATGACTTCTGAAGGGGTCTGGGGATTTTGTGGCAGGCAGGAAGGACACAGAGACAAAGCCTTCAGGCTCCTTCTGCTCTGCAAGGTCAGCTCCAGCCATCCAAGCAGAGGCAGGGGAGCTGTGTGTAGGCTGCAGCCTGTCCCATAACCACAGCAGAAGGGAAGCCAGGACTCCCAGACACCCACTTGCTGCAGTTACAGCCCGAACACCCACTGCTGCCAGGGCAGGCAGCACACAGCGTGGTCAGGAGGGGACCTACATGCTTCACCACACCAGCAGCTCTGGCCAACTACTGTTACAAAGCTGATCTGCCGCTGTCATAACATGCTGCAGACACAGGCCATGCACAGAGGCACTCTGGCTGGCTGGCTATGGCTCTGTACCTCTTGCTAGCATAAATGCCACTCAAACTGGAGGCACACCTTGGTGGCTCCAGGGTCTGTCTCCTCCCTCTTCCTCCCCAGTATCTCACCTTCACAAGTCCTGCACTTGTTGAGCTCAAAGGGGAAGATGATGTCATCCTCATTCTGGCAGAACTCGCAGATGAAGCCTTTGGCTTGGCACAGCTGCAAGGAAAAAAGATGAGGAAAAAACAGCTAAATCCTCCTCATCTCCCTAGCAACCAGGGCAGGAGGTAGAGCAGAGCAGGACAAGAGTGCCCTGCTCTAATCACGTGGGACAGCCCTTCACCAGCCTGGAGCACAGGAAAGGAGAATCTGTGTTTGTCAGGGGTGGGTAACAAATATCCCAAACATTCTGGATAGGAAGTCCATGGAGCAGGCAGGAACAGTTAGCATTGAATCAGTTAATTTGATGGCTGCCCTGCCCATCAAAGCCTCCCCTTCAGCTATCTCTGCAGTAAACCCTTCTCCCAAGGGTGCTCCTGAGAGTGCAGAGCTGGGCAGGAGGCAGGTGAGGGAGGCCTTACCATGCACTTATCAACGTGCAGGCTGCCTGCCCTCAGGAGCTCTGTCAGGCGAGGCACCAGGTCCCCTTTCTTCGTGGCACTGAGGTCGCTCAGTGAGTAGAGGTGCAGATCCTCTGTCAAGTGGCCAGGCACTGTGTCAAAGGAGTCCAGGAGGCTGCAAGGAAAGAGAAACCAGAGCTCAGAACAAAGCGGCTCCACTAAGCCCTCCCTCTCCACTCCTTCTGCTTTCTCTCCCCCTCCACTCTCATCTCTCCCTGCTGCTCATTGCACAGGTTGCACAGATTCCCAGTGCAAAGTGCCCCAGGGCAGAACCAGGAGAGCAAAACAGCCTCATCTCACAGCCCAGTACTCACTCTTTAGCTAGTCGGCACGTCTTGAACATGTTCTTCATGTGGAAAAGCTGGATTCGCAGCAGCTGGAGAGGAAGTGGGGACAAAGAATCAGTAACCAGCACAGTCCTTGGCCGAGCAGGTCTGTCCCATTCCTCATGTTGGTGAAACAACTGCTGCTCCTCAGCTGCTGCTCTCCTGTTCCCAAAGTGTTTACACCACATAGGGCAAGGCAAGCACAATCATTGTCATTGTGCTCCAGGAGATAAACTGAAGCCCAGCTGGATCCCAGCCAAAAATTCCTTTTGAAATTCCTATGTTACTGAAGAAGGAAGACGGGGCAAATGGAAAGACACAGTGATGAGGTTTTAAGCCTCAAAAACTGAAGTATCTGCTTCTCACCAGCTTCTGTCAAATATTGGCAGCCAGTTGGCAGCCACCCACCTCACCCAAACCCTACTCAGGAAGGCTTGTAAAGGGTCTTACCCACACTTGGTTGAGAGCCTTCACTTTCCGGTACAGGGCAGGATTGATATCCTGCACGTTGAAGAGTGGGTCACTCCAGATCTTGCTCAGCAGGTCTTTGGAGAAGTTGCTCACATAGTACTTGCTGAAGTCCCACTTGCGCAGGATGCGGCTGGGGATGACCATCTGGGCATTCTCGTGGCAGCACTGGCAGAAATACTTCCCCAGGTACTCGCAGTACCGCAGCCGCTTGATGTAATCTGGCCAAACCAGGCACACAGGGAGGTCAGCTCTGCCCAGCCACACACTGGACTCCCAGTGTTGCTCAGAGTTTCCAACAGGCATTTCACACAAGCAAGGCATTCTGCCTTGCTGGTATCTCCTCCACTCCAGAGTGCTCAGCATGGGGGTCTGCAAGCACCCCTCTGACTGCAGAAGGACCATGGCCCAGCCTCATGCAGCCACATCTACCTACACATTTAGGGAAGAACACTGCAGCTGTACCCACAGCAGAACCTGCTGGGAGCTTGAGGACCCCAATAGAGGACTTTGCCATATCACAGTCAACATCTGAAATGTCCTCCAAAGGACAGGCTGGTTGCACTTTCCCTCCACCATCCCTTGACCTTCTGGAGATGGAGGCTCCTCTGTGGATGGTGCACATCAAAGTGCAGGCAGAGCTGCCCCAGCGACCTTGTGCTGAGCTCCACCACCACCTACCCACTCAGCATCTTCCCACTTGTTCACAGGTTCTTCCCCACTCTCCAGCTACAAGTCAGGCCCCCAGCACTCACCAGGATCAGTCCGGATGCCACAGCCTGCACACCGGTAATTCTGCTTGGCCACAGCCACCTTCCTCCTGCTCAGGGACAGAAGACAACATGCATGAGCCCAGCCCTGATGGCACCTGGCACCAGAAGATGGGCACTGGCACAGGTCTGGGATGTTTGTGTGGACAACAAATCCAGTGGGAAAAGCCCTATTGTATCCTGGTCCACACCCACTGCAAGCACTGGCTCCATCTCACCATCCCACAGTGGTGACCACTGTGGATTTACCAGGCTCAGAGCAGGGAATCCCCATTAGTCAAGTGGGAGGGAGAGGATAAGCAACATCAGTGTTGATGGAAAAAGGTTGGAAAGGGGAGGTCCCTGGGGAGGCCCCAGCAACAGAGGTCCTTACGTTGGCGCTGGGTGAACGTTGAAGATGATCTGTGGTCGCGGCGGGGCCCACTCCAGGTTTCCACGCACCCGAATCCTCAGTTTGTAGATGTCAGCATGTTCTCCATCGTCAGGAGAGATAGGCAGAGAGTCAGGGATGGGCAGGAGCTGGGAGAGGCAGGCAAAAGGGTCAGATCGCTGTCTGGTATTGCAAAGGCAGTGCATCTGGCTGGACTGCCAGAAACCTGCAAGTGCAGCCCTCTGGAAAACTGCTCGGCATCAAACTGGTGCTCCAGCTGAAAAGGGGCTGGAGAAGGGCTGTCCCCAGGGACCCCAGCACTCTGATGTTGGAGGCTGCTGTGGCAGAGCCCTGCTTGGATGCACCCACCTCCAGAGCCCAGGCAAACTCCCTCTTCCAGTTCCAGAAAGGGATCACTGGGATGAGCAAAGCCTCTCAGCAGCTGGGTGAAGCCAGGGGTTCAGGAAAGATCAAATGCAATTGGTGACAGTGACTCACAGCCTTACCTTCTGTGGGGCATCGTGCTCAGGGACTAGCCACTCCAACTCAGAGGCAGCTGGGAGCTGCATGCCCTCAAACTGCTTCAGCAAGCCCATGGCCACGGCCTCTGCTGAGTTGGAATTGAGGAAGGAGTGGGATCTAGACAGAAAAGAGAGTGGTTAGTACTGGGTCTCACAGCTGTGCTCTCCTCCCAGCCCCCAGTGCCAGACCCAGCTCAAGCCATATAGATGCTCCCTTCCACTCTGGTTCCTTATTTCTGCACTGCTACACAGGCTTAAAATTGATATGTGTGATTGATTTCTGTCTTTGCAGCTGTCCCCAGTTCCCCCTTTGAGTCACAGCACAGCAGTGAGGGTTAGAGAGAAGGTGGCAGCACCATGAAGTCTAACAGGCTGTCCCAGCTGAGAGGGAGAGGCAGGGGAGGCTCAGAGCCAGCAGCAAGCCAGCAGCCAGTCCAGATGGTCCAGGTTGTCACCAGACTCTTACCTACTAGGAGGTATGGGCACCTCTCCTGACACCAGTCCATATCATATCTACCTCATGTGAATATCCTGATAATCCCCAGGTACTGCTTCCCAAATTTAAGACTAGGACCCAGTGCTCAACTGCTAAGTAAAGAGAGGGAAGGAAGGATGTCTACTCCAGTGCAAAGCAGCAACTGATGCACATGGAAGAGCAAAGTTAGCCAGGAAGGAGAACTTGGTACCAAGATGTGTCACCATGCGTTGAAGACGTACATGGAGTCCGAGGAGAGAAAGGACTTCCTGGAGTGTGGGTTCCTCTTGATGTCTGCATCTGAATCAAAAACAGACAAGGTGGAAGAGATGGGGCAGGGCAGGGCAATACACTCACTTCAAACCAAAGCTTCAAGGTAAAACTCATCCAGGTGTGAAAAGCATGTGAACTACAGCATCAACTTCTACCAGTGGCACTGAGGAGCAAGGAGGGGTGCAGTCTAATCAGTCAGCTGTCAGAGTTACAAGGGAAAGGTATGATAGGATGCTGTAAAAACAGCCAGCCTGGGGGTTGGGGGAGACAAGTGGCTGCTGGTTCAGGTCACACACCAAGTCCTTAGCAGTGACACAGTCTGAAAGAGCACACACAGGAGCTTGGAGGGCAGGACTGCAAGGTTAGCAAGAAGGTTTAGTAGCTCTCTACAGACAGTACAGATGCTGGAGGTGATTAGCAATGGGATGCAGAGTCCTTTTCTATACTTGACTGCAAAACTCTAAGATCAGACAGTGGCTGTACCACAGCTTGTCAGTGACTGCACAGCCAGGGCTGGCAGCCTGTGCCCAGCACTCCACAGACATGCCAGCATCCCTGCAGAGAGCAGCCAGCAACCATGGGGCCAGCCCTCTGCAGAGGCCACAGACCCACCTCCTGAGAAGAGAGGGGTCCATGAAGAGGTGCAGGACACTGAGGTCCTGCTCCCTCCACTCCTCCATCAGCTCCCAAACAGCCCTGGGCTGCGCTGCAGCCTTGGGTACTCAGCAGTAGCTCCACCACTCATCTTTCTTTCACTCCAGCAGGTGTGAAAGACAGGGGATTCATCTCAAGAGTGGAAGAACTCCGGGACAGGAGATATCCAGTAGCACACTACAGGCAGAGGCAGGCAGAATCCCTGCTTCATTGCAGATAGACTCCCAGAAAAAAAAAAGAGGGCATGCAAGGGGAAAGCACTACAGGTCAGGACAGAAGAGAGGCCAATGCCACAACCTTCAGTCCAGCAGGTCTCCTGCTTTGTACCTCTGGGGAGCTCTAGGAATGGTCTGAAGTGACCATACCACCCCCAAACACAAGCCTGCAGCTTCCCCTGTCCCTGTGCCTGGCACGGGGAGGCACAGCTCAGGGTCCCTGCTCCTCTACTCCAAGCAGGTCGACTAACACAAACCTGCACAGTCCACACGATCCCAGCCAGGCACCAACAGCACACTGAGGCCAAGGGAATCACAGCCTGGCCGAGCAAAGAGTGCCAACCCACCCCAGCTTCCCTACAAAGAGCAGGGCTGCCCTGGCAACAAGGGAAGCAACTCCTGCAAATTTACAGGCTCACACTTCTGGAATTCAGCATGGATGCCTGACCCTCAATGTTTGACACCCATTGCTAGAACAGGCACAGGGAAGCATCCTAATGTGCTAAGGAATCTGCATATCTACATCATGCAAACAGACTTCTAGTGCAGAAAACAGGGAATTCAGGAAAACAGCCTCCTGACCATGTAGAGCACCAGCCAGACACACCTGCCATGCTCTGGTGCCTCCTGCTCTATGCAGAAAGGTGCCACATGGTCCTAGACTGTGACGAACATGAGCCAACAGCTGGGCACACGCAGCACAGTGGGGGCCAGGTGTTACAGGGAGGCAGAGCCATTGCACTCAGGCACTGACATGGTCTCAGGGATGAGAGGGAGCCAAATCTGACCTTAGGCTCCCGCAGAAGCTAGCACTGAAATTCTGCCACCACTGGCTTCCCAACATTAACTGCAGACACACTCCAAAAGCCTCATTAGCTGCACAAAACATCTCTGCTGCCAATGTTATCACCAGGTAGGATAGTCTTCAGGAGGCTTGTGAACAGCCCCTACAGCCCCTAAACCCAAGGACATCACTCTAGACCCCGTATGCCTGCTTCAGGCCAGCATGAGCCCCACTAGATTAAAGCCCTGCTCTGTGAACACAGCAGGGCTGACCGGGAAGCTCTGAGCACCAGCATCTCCATGAGAAGCAATGTGCTGGTGCCAAACACCCCACACAAGAGATCAGCAACAGCTCAGCAAGCTGTTCCCTTGCTAAAGCAAACAGGGAGCATATGAAGGGTATTTAATGTGGCCAGCAGACCAGAAGGATAACCTAGTAGTACTGTAAACAATAGAAACATTAAGCTAGACCTGGCTGCATGTGATCCCAGTGCCCAGGGCCTCCAGCATGAACAAACTGCCTGTGCCCTGTCTGGTCTCACTACTCTTCCCTTCAGGACTTCTTTTCCATTTGGAAGGATTCCACTCCAAGTCAAGTCTGAGCAGAGTGGGAGGGGTTGGCAGTGGTTCATATTAGAGTTATGGCACACCAGTTCTGCCAACTCAAGCAAGATAATGCTCCCCAAGGCACCTGGGATGGAGACCTGGTCCCACACTGAAAAGGACTGCTCTCATCCAGCTCAGGCTCAGACTTCAGCACCTACAGAGCCACAAAGCTGTGCCATCACCCTGCCAAGCCCTACCCCAGGCAAGACAGGTCTTCACTGCAGCAAATACTTTTGATACATCCAAAATACTGCACAGCAAAATGCTCTGGGGGATGGAGCCCACGACACTGATCCTCTGCCTCCTCTCTGCTCAATCCTGCCACAGCTATGCTTGCTGATGTCTGGATGATACTGGAACTAACTCACAGTTCCAAAACCAGGCAGATTTCTGGGAAGTGTGCATGTGCACACACACATAGACCTTGCGCACACACACACACACACACAAGCGTGCTGCAGGGAGCACTGCAGGGTACCTGAGAACAAGGAAGCCATTGACACTGAGAGGCCGTTCTTGGACATTTGAATCAGGTTAGATCCATCGTTACCATCTGTATAACATGGTGATGACAAAACAGTTGACTTCAGTGCTTCGGCCAGGCCAAAGAGAAAGGGCACAATACAAGAGCAGCACTCGCACGAGGAGGGCCCAGAACTGAATTTGCACACCCTCCGGGGGCTTCAAAACCTCACCCAAAACCTCACCCTCATGGACTGTAAGAAGGGGCTTGCTGTTTATAGTCAAGGGACAAGAAGTTTAAAGCTGGAGACTGGACTGCTCCATCTTCTTTTTAAAGATGGAAGTACTGCTGAGAAGTAAGTCATCCACCTCAGAGGATGAAACATGGCTCTGAAGGAAAAGGATACCCAGGGACACAGACATGTGTCCTGTTGGTGATAAGCTCAGCCACCCAAGCTGTCAGGAGCAGAGACTACAGGTCAGGATGTTACCAGCACCCACCACCCAAGAGGTAAGTGGTCAGAGCTATGGCTCCTTTTGCCCGGGGAGAAGAAGAGTAGGATGGCAGCTCTCCCACTTCTCTCTAGCTGTGACAGCCACTACGTGGACCAGGCAATGAAATGGAAACCACCTACCAGCCAGAGGCAAGAAATGCTACAGGGTTACAGGGGGTTTCGAAGGAAAGTCATGCCACCACATGAGGGAAACTGGTTGCTCTGCTTATACTCAGCTCAGCCATCTGTTTGGGAAAAGCCATCTCGAAGGCCAGAGGGACATGCTCTTCTTCAGTGGGATTGACCTCAATACAATCACACCAAGGAGAAATCTGTCTCTATGCAAGAAGCCAACACAGCCATTCCCTCCTACCTCGGATCTCGTACTCCTCCACATCCTCTGCAGAGCCAGAGTCAGAGAGCCGCATGGAGCCGTGGGAGCTGAACTGGGACCCGCTGTCTGTTGCCACAAGACCTGGGAGAAATGCATCACAGGCAGGTCATCAAAGGAAGCAGTCTGGAGGGTCACTGACTGCTGTGGTAGAAGGGGATAGCAAGGTACAGCCAGGGAAGGGAGGGATGGAGCTCAAGCATGGAAAACACTATGGGTTCAAAATGAAATTACAATCCATAACTCAGTGCCTGCAGCACAAAAGTGTTATCAATGTGCAGTATGGGTCCCATGTGGCCTTCAATAACAGCAGTTTCACAAATCTCTGCACCACCTTGGTAGCAATATGACTATTTCCCAGGAATGGGCAGGAAGACAGGATGCTTAGGATAGGTAACAGACAGAAAACCCGCATCCCACCAGCTGATAAGCCCCAAACACATCACCCACTGTCTGAGCCCATTTCCTGGCAGGCAGGGAACCGACTCGTGCGGATCTGCTGGCGCCGAATGCGAATCTTTTGTTTAAGCTCCTGGATCTCCTTGTCACTGTCTTCCTCCTCCTCCTCCTCCAGCTGCCGGCTCATCATGTTGCATTTCATCAGCTCAATGGCAGCGATCAGGGACTCTGAGATGCTGAAGTGGGCATTCTCCTGCAAGGCAAGAGTAAAAGCATTCAAGGCTATACCGTGGACAAACTAGGAAGACTTCATAAAATCTTCCCCACCTATGACAGGAAAGAGCTTATTACTCATGGATGGTGGTTGAAAGACCTTAATCCCTGTCAATCCCACAAAATATGACTTCTATGAGGACCTAGAAAATAAAGGCTTCTTGGGCACCAGAATACTCACAAAACACAAGAGGCATCCTACAAAGAAGATGTGAACACATCCACTCTGGGGGTCAGCACATGGGCCCTGAGGAGCCCTAACATCTTGCAAAGATGTGTATATATGCTGGACAGGCAGATCCTGGCTTCCAGACACCACCAAGGAGCTCAACTTTGAAGTTCTGTGCACAGTTCTACAGCAGAAAATACCATGGCATTATCCTCCCCACAGAGTGAAGTATACCTGAACCTGCAGAAAGATACATTCTCTAATGCACATAGGCTGCTGCTGCTTCCCTCACCTTCTCCAGGTCTGCACAGCTGCCAAAGTCCTGCTCAGAGAGGTAGCTGATGAGGGACTGTCCTTCCGAGGGTCTCCTAAACATCCCTTCCCCCGAGCTCAGATACTGTCCAGAGTCTAGAAAAGCAAGAAACAAAGGCATGAGGGAAGGACCTGCTGCTATCTCCATGCTACCAAGCCCAGCTAGCATCTCACAAGCAGGTGCCAGCAGCTGAGGCCACCACAGCTGATGGAGGAGTCTGACTAGGAGCGAGTGTCCCCACTAAGGCTGGCTGTACTCACCATACTCCATGTAGAGGGAGCTGGGTGTGCTCAGTTCACTGCTCTGGGTGGAAGCAGAGACCGGCCCTCTCCCTCCAGCTGGATCGCCATGGGACTCTGGAAGGGAAGATGACACCAAGCACACCTCAGTATCCCAGAGGCATCCAGCCATTGCACAGGGTGAAATGAAACAGGCTTGGCATCACAGATGGAGGCACAAATGGATAGAAACAAGGAGAGACATCTTCCTGCTCCATGCCACAGCTGAGGGCAAGCCCAGGAGAGGGCAAAACTAGAAGGGCATTTCAGGCATTAGAGAAGGGGAAAGGAGAGAAGCTCATGAGAGCCATGGAGCAGTTGAGTCCTGAGCCTTCCTCTCTTTAGCCCCGACTAGAGCTGGGGGACACAACACGCTCCAGCAAGTGCCTCTTGCCAGCCCTTTCTTCCTGCTGGAACATCTTTGAGGGAAGAGTTAACCCCCAGAACAGAGAGTCAGGAGAGGAGATGAGGGGAAACCTCATCTAGTAGTTGACAGATCTGTGGGTCTCCCAGCCCTGCAAAACAGCCTGGACACCAGTGTAAGGGGGCACCTGAAGGACAAGCCAGGGTTTCCTGCACACAACCCCTGGATGCAGTGCTCAAGGTGACTTACACGGGCTGTGGGCAGGGCTCTGGCCCACGCACACACGGTGGTGCAACTCCCTGCCAGACTGAGCTGGCAGAGACTGCCAGGAGCTGGCCTGAACGGAGACCAAGAACAGATGGTGCCCTATGGAGAGCCGTGGCCCCAGGGAGCACCTGGACAGAGCAGCTGGGTGACAGAGGACTGCTGAAGGAGACTAAAAACACCCTGACTGAAATGGGATAGGAACAAACAGCTCTGAATATGGGGCAGGTCCCAGCTGACATCTTAAGCACAACAGAAGGGCAACCCTGTCCTCTCAACCTCCTATTCATTTTCATTCTCAGATTTGTGCCGTAATTCTGAGGTAGACAGAGGCTCCTGATCCCACCAACACCAGCCTCTCCCTGCCAAGACCCTGAAGCAGCAGTCACCAAGATGGGGCCTGGAATCAACCCAAACCACAGGCTGGGAGACAAAGGAGACCTGTCAGGGTGGGAGGCTCTCACAGCTTTTCGCTGCAGCCTGGAGGGTGTTCTGCAGCCCACTCAACACAGAAACCACCTCATGGGATGGATGCCTGGGGGATGCCACATACAACAGAGCCTACTGCTGAATGGTAAAGCGAGGCATCATCTGCTAGACTAGGACATAGGGTTGGACACATCTGAGTGCCCACAACCCCCAGGGAGGACCCTTCCTAGCCACAGAACACTTGGCACCCAGATGTGAACTTGACAAACCCAGTGCCACTGCTCAACAGATGCAAAATGAAACAGCCCGTTTTTTTTGAGCTGCTGACTCTTTCTGCATGGGGGTCACAGGGATGTCAGCACCCAGCACCTCTGCTTAGGGGAAAACCTGCCCTGAGTCCAGAAGAGCATCTGGGAGTCCCAGCTGTGGGTGTATACACAGCTGGAACTCAGCCAACATCAAACATCCCTGTGCCACAGATCCACTAAATCAAAGGGAAAATAAGATGTTCAAGCCCCTGCCTGTTTAGCTGCCAGCCCTTATTTCATAGGTGAGAGATGAAACCTCTCCTGGCTCCCAAGGCAGTGGGTGGAGGGAAGGGCAGGGGATGCAGCTCAGGGACTCGGTGGCCAGCACTCCCTAATGCCATGCAGGGGAACTGCAGGCACACTTCTGAGTCTGGTCCACTGCTCCCAAAACCCAAGCTGGGATCTTCAGTCAAGTCACATGCATAAACCTGACCACACTTCAAAGCATCAGCTGAGACACAGCAAAGAAAGAATATTTTTGGTTTTCTAAATGGACACTAATGGTTTGATGGCAATCCTGAACTTGATGCAATGATCACTAATGAAGGGCTGTTATACTGGCTCCCAAACCTGCCACTGGATCTTCTATTATAATGGTGATATCCCTGAGGCCTCCTGGGTAGACAGAGGAGGAGAAGGGCAGCATTAAGAGAGAGAAAACAGAGACAGACTGGTTACTACTCAGCAAGGCTCTCCACTTATCCCATGAAGGTAGCACTGGTGGAACAGAATCCCTCAACTGTTTGTTCCCTCACATCCCACTCCCCATGCATTCACCCATTCAGGAGCACAGGAGGACCCAGCAGGTTACCAGTGGTATGACATCCTACCAGTAGGATGAGCCCAGGCCCCACCCCAGTGCCTTGCCACGGCCCCATGCCCCAGCCCAGCAAGGCCAGTGGGGAAGCAGGACAGCTAATGCCACAGCACCACTGCCATTTTCTAAGATTTTTTTGGTAAAAGCTGCCCATACCAGTAACAGTCTGGTCCAGGGCATTCTGGGAAGGAATATGTCAGCCCATCATTCCAGTGTGGAGCAGGTAAGCTAAGGGAAAAGACCAAATTTCCCAACCATTTGCCCACTGCTCCTCTCCCCAGTCTGAGCTATGGAGTCAAAGAAGTAGCCAGCATCAGCCTCCCGGTACCAGGGACTCCCACACCCAAAAGCCATCCCAGAAAAGCTGTCCCATTACCGTGCAACTTCCCCGAAGTCACGTTGGTGTCGGAGTGTGAGCGCACGTGGCTCTTCTTGAGGATGCCCTGTGGAGCTGATGACTGTCCCTCCGAGAAGCTGGACCGTCGCAACAGGCTCAGGCCCCTGCTTCCACCTCCGCTTGCCCCCTGCTCCCCCAGGGATGATACTGAGTCCAGCTTCTGGGAGCTACTGGAGGAGAAGAGTTTGGAGCTACTGCTCTTGGAGCTGCTGGTGCTGGCGCTGCTGCATGCCCGGCCCCGGCGTCCCAAGTTCCCGATGGCCAGGTATTCTGGCCCATCATTAACATCACTCTGTGGATCATCCTGACTTCCTGTCCAAGTATCCTCGCTCTGGCTGGTGGTGCTGGAACTCATCTCACTGGCTGGAGAGAAGGGGTCTTTGGGTGAGGGGGTCTGGGTGACAGAGCCAGGCTGCTCCAGAGTGGACCTGCCCTCGCTGAAGGAGGAGGACCGAGTGGACAGGCAGCGCTCCTGGGGCTGGCTGGAGTTGGAGCTGACAAAGGAGCTCGCTGGTCTCCTGTCTTGACAGAGGTAGGAGCATGATGTCACACACTCTGGCACAAGCAGACCAGCACACCCACCCACCACAGGCAAAGGCCAGGGATCTCCCTCCCATCACAGGCAGAGATCTCCTCACACACATCCACCACAATGAAGAGCTGATAACAAGGTAAAGTCTCTTCTGTGTCTACCCTGAGCTCCCCAGCCCACCCTTAATACCAGAGAGGCCAGAGGAGGCTGGATGGTGGAGGCTGGAGGAGGACCCAAAGCAGCGCTGCTGGGTGCAGCCAGCAGTGGGGACGTACGGGGACCCAGGGAGGGCTGTCAGGCTCTGACTCTTGGTCACTGGAGACAGATTGTCACTCCTCCTGGTAAGCTGAAGAGAAGTGGAATCATTAATAAATCAGCATCTATGAAGCTACATGTCAAAGGAGCAGCAACACAAAGGGATCGACCTGCGAGTGCCTGGTCACCAGCCAGCAAAGAATGCAGCAGCCTTGGGCACAGGAGGATGGGGAGGGAAAAACACAGCAGCACAGAAGGGAAGCGGGTCTTAGTTAGCAGCTACAGGACAGGCTCCTGTTGGGAAATTACCACGCTCTCAGTGAAATGATCCAGGCAGCCCAGTGCTCCAGGCAGATGGCTCTCGTGTCCTTCAGCGTTGTGGTCACACATCTCCCTTGTCTCAGCAGAAGGGTCTGACGCGCACAGGGATGGCAGTGACGTTCCAGCCAGCTGAAAGAACACAGCCCCCATTTAACAGAACCTCACTAATTGCTCTCCTCTGGGGAGCTCTGTGCAAAGAAAGTAGCTGCTGTTCCCCTCCTCTGGAGAGGGGCAGCTGGCGCAGGGCTGTACAGGGGGTCTCTGGTATAACCAGCAGGAGTGGACACCCAGGTGTCCTGGGGCATTCCCCGTCCCCTCAGAGGGTGACTGTCCCTCATGACCAGGCAGCTCTGCATGCTGGCCCTGAAGCCTGGGACTGTTGGAGAGGGCTTTAGAGGTACCTCTTACAAGGAACTGGTCCTCAGGTCCTCTACTCAAACCCTGGAAGCCAGCCTCAACCAGTACAGACTCCACTACAGGCCCCACACAGCCATCCCGCCCACCGTGACCCCTGCCAGGTCACACAGGCAGCACAAGCACCAGTTCCCTGCTCTCCTCCCATCTTGGAGTAACTTTTGCTACTTCCAAGTCCAGCCCCTTGTCCGAGGGCTCTTTGTGCCCTGAATGCGACCTTTCAGGAGCAGCCACAGCCAGTCAGCATCTGCGGAGAGCCAGATGTAAAATGGCAACCTCAACTCACCATGGAGGTGTCGATCTGAGCCAGAAGCCTGGGGTTGTTCTGCTCAACAGCTTCCAGGCACTGCAGCATGGCCGTGACGTGGGCGTCACTGAGCAGGAAGGCAGTGTCTGGGGAGAGAAGAATGCTGTTCGGGGGAGTCCCTCTCACCCACGTGCTTTGACACACCGGTTGCTCACATGCAAACCAACTTTTCTGCTGTTCGCTCTCACCCCCCCACAGCTTGGAACCACCACCAACTAGATATTTTCCTAATAAGAAGGAAAAGGCCCGCTGCTCTTTACCTGCATAGAACTTCCTGATGTACTGCCGGTTCCCCAGGAGCGGCCTCAGCTGTGCCGACAGGCAGTGGCACTGCAGGCTGTGCTGCAGCCACAGCTGTGCGATGGCCTGGTCTCCTGGGCCCTCTGGGTCACGCTGGTCACTCTCCTGCAGGCTGATGAACTGGAAAGGGACATCAGGCACAGGTTAAGGCATGCAGAGGCAAGCAGGTGAGCAGGGCTTGTTCCACCACATGGCTTTGGTCCTCTCGATAACAGCAGCTTTGTCACTGTCAGCGAGAAGGAGGACATGTCCCAGCAGCTCCCCAGCCACCAGGGAGCCAAAAGCACCAGGCAGGAACAACATTTCAAAGGTCAGCTAGTGACCAAAGTCCTCCAACAGCCACCAGCACAAATTTCTCCTGCACACTCTCCCACCCATGTGTTTTGCCTCTGACCTGGAGGAACCCCTGGAGGAACTCCTAAATTCAACCTGACCCCAGTGGTGACAGTCACTTGCTGACACATTAATTCCAGAAGATTATGACAATGCCTGAGCTGCTGCAGCTTGAAGAGCTGGACTGGAGTCACACCGCACATCCCCCCAGGAGCAGGCTGGACACAGGGACTACCAGTGGTCAGTCCTTTGTGCTCACCCAGGTGGGGATCATGGATGTCAGCACGGGGCAGCCAAACACCAAGAGCAGTGCCAGTGGTTGCCAGAAGCCAGGAATGGGAAAATAAATGCATGGTGAAGCCACAACCCAGAAACGGGACAGCCCAGACCGTTAGAGGTTTGCACAGACGCATGAATCACCCCTGCTTACACACAAGCACTGCTTGTGCCAGTTCCCTTGGTGATGCCCGCTGCACCCGGCCCAGCCGAGCTGGAGACTGGCCTGGGGGAAATAAGCAGACGATTGTCTCAGCTCAAGCCACGCTGAGTTCCCAGGACATGGTTTGTACCCAAACACACGGCTGCTTCAGCCTCCACAAGCCCTGGAGCCACTTTACCCACAACAGCCAAGGCACCACTACCCCACTGGTGAGGCTCACAGCTCAGCTGCCCCCTCCCCTCCCTCTGGGCACATCAGGCCACCCCATCAGAACCCACCTTCTCCAGGTGATGAGCAGAGCTGGGACTCAGCCAGCGAATGTCCTTCACAAACTGCCAGTAATCCTTCTGTCTGCAGCACACCTGCCCGGGACAGGGACAGTTAGGTACCACATCCCAAGTCCCAGTTAAATGACAACATTCCCCGTTAGCCCCTTGCTGCCATGAGAGGATGTGCTGCCTGCCTCAGTTTTATTCAAACAATGAAGTTTTTTTCTTCTTAGTTATTCTTCCCGTTAGAGAGGAACTGCAGCAGAGTTGCTGTTTTCCTCACCACCCTATCGGGTGTAAACACAGACCCAAAAAAATCTCTCTTCAACAAAAAGCTGATTATTTTACTTCCATCTCTATTTCCTCTTTCACAAGTGACAGAGGAATGGCTTCTGCTTTGTGGTTTATTTGGTTTGGCAGCAGGGGGGGAGTAGCTTGGTTTTTTTAAGACTACAAAACTAATCCAGCAATTTTAGTTTTCTGGACTGAATAGGGCTTTCTGGACAAATAAATTCAATCAAAAGTTTAAAAACATCTAACCCCAGTTCTCTTAACATCTACATAGGGATTTTTTCACCTTTTCCTTTTATTCCTAGTTGTAAGCAAAAAAGTTGCCAAGAAAATAATGAGTGAAAGGAAATGTTTTGCTGGAGCAACTATGAGAAAACTGCTGTTAGGAAGCCTCCCTTTGCACCTCTGAAAGCTTGACTGGTGTCACGCATGCCCAAGCAGGGCAGACACTCCTGAGTGGAAGAGCTGTAAATGTAAAAGCACTAAGGAAGGTAACACACCATCCTGCTTTCCATGATTGGCGTGAACTGTTACCAATATCAGACATGTATAAATCATTCACTTCCTGAAGCCCATTACTAGCAAATCTATCAGAAGGGAGTGCTGCACTCCTCACATAGAAAAGGCAGCTTCTCTCTCTGATGATCTCCCAAAGGTCCCTGGTCCACACCACTGGGGACTAACAGGAACAGAGCTGCACCGTAACAAGTGCTGGCTGCAAACTTAATGAAGCCAGCGAGCAAAGCTCCCTGGTGGGACAACCTGCCAGCCTGGCTCTTCCTGGAGGTTTATTAGCTTGGGTGCAGCACTGCATAGATTCAGTTTTCCTGACCCTGAACCCAGCTGGCCCATGCAAGCTGCCTGGAGCTCCTCTGAACAGCTCTCTTCTCCCTGTGTGGCAGAGCCACCGATGGGAAGCCTGTCCCTGGGCATCCCCTGCAGCCTTTCTTCAGCTTTCCCCTGTAAATTAATTGTGCTGCTAATTGCAAGCTGAAAAGGAGATCTTCCGGCCTCTGCACACAACTGGGAAAGAGAAATTCTTCCAGGCAGCCATGAAAGGGGTAAAGGCTGGGTGAGCAACTGCAGGCACAACAAGAGCCTGGAAAGAGTGATCCCATTCACACAGGGCGCGGGTTTGGCTGCCAGCTCCTGTTACTAACACAGCTAACCAGAAACAGTAAAGACATGAGGTTTCTCTTGCCAGACCTCACTGGGGACTTATCCAAGCACAGATGATACGGGGCTGACTCACTGCAAATGCAATTTAATTGTTTGGCTGCAGCAGAAGGAAAGGAGAGAGGAGTGGCCTCAGTACAGGGGGCACAAGTACTTAGAAAAACCATATTGAAGGTAGATGAGATAGAAACAACATGCACACAGGTCTCTCTGACAACCACGGCACTTGCCAGGCAAGCTCAGTTGTTGCTTGGATCATTTCCCACACTGCTACAAGCACTGGACCCACTCTATGCTATGAGCACAGAAGTGAGCTGCAGCAGACAGGACTGCCCCACGTGCTTGTGACAGGCACCAAAGCTGCTACAGACAGACAGACAGACAGCCATGCTGGCAGAACAGAGTCCTACCTTGTCGTGGATGAGCCCATGGTAGAGGATGCTGTGCATGTCTCTGCAGAGCCGTTCCAAGCCCCCATACTTGGACCAGACATTTGGGTTGCTGATGGACACCAAACCTTCCACTGTGGTCTTCAAGTTGCCGAGCAGCTTCCAATGCTCCTTCCTGCAGAGGAACACAGCAAGATACATCAGAGATACAGCAAGAGGAGCTTCACAACAGGAACATGGTCTTGCACTCTTTCCAAGGAGACTCTGGTCAGGCTGAAACCTTCAGTGGTCCAGAAGCCAGCAAAGGTGAACTAAAGAACTTTATTACTCCCTGTGGTCAACATGGTTTGTGGACAACAGGCCTTATCATAATGATTCTTCTGAGGACTGGTAGCCACCAGCAATGTGGTCTCAGGAGACAGACAGAACAAAGACTGAGCAAAGACTGAACCAAGACATTGGCTCCTGCAATATACCACTTGCTTAGTATGGCCAACAAAGCTAGAGGACACCTTCCCCGCCAGCCTCTCACTTGCTTCACTCACATGCTCTCTCTATCAGGGACTGCTGAGCAGCAGCCCCTCAGGAGTACAGCAGCTCTGAGGGAGGGCATGATGTCCACCAGATCTAGCAGACACTGGCCCCCCTACACCTGTGTTTAGAGAGTGGCTGAGAAAAACATACTACATCGAGCACTCCAGCCCTTCAGGATGCACAGGTGCTCCGTCCCCAGGGAGGTAACACTGCATCTGCATCTCCACCTCTGGAGCTGCTCTCTGGGCCCTGAGCTGCTGTAGGCACAAGCGGACTTCTTGCAAAAGCATTCACCATGTTCTGGACAGAGATTAGCAAACTGCTGGTGTACTCTGGAGCGTGCACAGCATTTCATCAATATCATCCCCCTCAGCTACCCAGCATACAGCAAGAAAGCACCATTATCTACCACAAAGCAGGAGCTATGGTGCAGAGAGGTAATGCCATTTGCATATGCAAAAGCAGCTTTGGGGAAGAAAGCTTTGTATGACTGAGGTCTCCACTCAAACTGCTTGACACTGTTGCCAGAGGAACAGCAGCTGTCAAAAACACATATTCATACAGGAGCCACTCTCTAAAGAAGAAACAGCAGTGTTGCAAGGTATAGTTAGGAGTGTAAATATCAAAATAGTATGCTTCTGCAGTGTTTGTAACAAAGGCACCCAAGCTGACACCTTAGAATGAAAATCCAGCCTTTTAACTGGCAAGAAATAACCCAGTGTTTCAGCTGTTAATCCCTTCCACAGCAAAACCAAAGTGGATTTCCAAAACAAAAGGGGAAAAAAAAGGGAAAAAAATTAAAATAAATAACATTATTTAAAACTGCTCTCATTTTCATCCCTTGGGGATAAAAGTGTGGGCCACATACTTCTGGTATTTAAAATAAAGCTTTTCTCACCAGTAACCTCTTTTCGAGACTAGTTCGCTACTGCCAAACTGATCAGTTGAACAAGCAGATCACCAAATATTGGCTCTACTTCAAGATCTCCATCCACTCCCCTTCCTCTTCAGGGAAACCTCACCACTTTCAGCACCCATCTAAGCTTAAACCACACAGAAGCCAATCCATCCCACCAGCAAAGCCTGTCGCCCTACCAGCACCGGAGCTCTAAACCATAGCATATGATGTACCTTTTTGTTCATGATGTACTTAGACTTAGAGGTACAGTGAGGGCTTTATCTCAGGAGAGGCTGAAGAAAAATGCACAGATACAAATCAAAGGCAGTTTCCTGAAGGAGATAGGATTCAGGGAGACAAAAGAAAAGATCCAGCCCTTCTGAATTTATGGGCTTTTCCCATCCCTGCCCTGAGGGCTGCAGATGCTCTTTGTCTACGGATGCCCAGAGAGGCACTGCCAGTTCCTGGTCAAAGAGCATCTGCAGCTAGGGAGATCAAAACCAGCTCCTCCCTAAGATATTTCAACACTCAAGAGCTAGGAAATGCAAGCGAAAGCTCAGCCACACTGTTGATATTCCAAATCAGTGAGTCAGGGGAACTCCCTCTCATGTTGTTTCATGCTATATAAAGCAGGAAATGCACACAAGGATGTGAGGGCAGCATATGCAGAGATGTGCCTTTCCAAATGAACAGTCTCATTAGAAGAGTTGTGCATCTCTCAAGATGTAGCAAACCAGGAGCCAACAGACTGGAGTCAGGGCTCCCTCCCAGCAAAGGGTAACTAAGGCTAAGCAATCCTCAAACAAAATAACTTCCAAGTGTTAAAACACTAAACACAGAAGCACATAGGGAATGAGTGGCACAATGAAAGCACCTTTGCAGAGGTGATGTAGAAGTTACCAAAAGTGAATTAAATCCTTGTAGGACAGTAAGTACCCTATGGGACTTGTTGACCCAAAGCAGTTCAGAAGCTGGACACACAAGACCCTTCTGATACCCAAACCCTAGCTGTTTCTGGGCTGGAACATGCTGGAAAGCACAAGTGACACAAGGCTGAAGAAATGAAGACCCATATAGTTGGGTGCAGGTGGCAGGGAAATTGAGAGCATGGCTAACCTCATTTCATTTTTGACCAGACTCATTGGCTAACCCTGCAGGGTTTGCTCCCCTCCCACTGACAGAGCCTGGGCTTTGTCTGCCAGAAGGAATGGAGAAAGCTCAAATCCCAGCTGCCCTCCAGTTCCCCATTTCAGCAGGTGTTCAGAGCACTACTATGAAATCTGCTTGTTTTTTCCTGAAGAAGGAGAGTTCTCCTTTGCTAGTGCTATAGAAAGCCTGACATGGGGTAAGGCCAAGTCATATCATATCATGCACCCTTATTTACAGTAAGGGCAGAGTGAGAAACACACCCCAGAGGGTCACAGTGCACCAGCAGAGCCTTCTCTGCAAGAACCACACATGCTTCTGCTCTCCTGTTTCAGAGAGCCTGGTTCCCCCTGCCAGAAGGACCAAGGGTGCTTGCAGGTGCCATGGGTGGTGGAGCACTGGTGAGACCTCAACCACATCCCTCTCCTCCCTTAAAGACAACCTCTGATCCAGCCTCCAATTTTAACCACCTGCTTCATAAACTTGGCTCTGGGCCTCCTTTCTTTACCACCACAAACTCCATCTTCAGGTACAGCAACATCAACCTGCTGTCAGGAACTGTCCCAAATATAACTTAACCTTTCACACTGGAGTGATAAAATACAGAATCCGGCCTTGGAACAAGAAATGGCTTAATGCCACTGCTGCTGACATCGACAGGGAATGCTGCTTGCTTTCCTCAAGGCTTTCTCAGCCCCTCTGCGCCAGCAAGGGTAGGAACTTCTCTTGATCCAAGTCAGCAAAGGTGACTCACAGCAGAGGCAGGGAGCCATGGTGCTGACTCAGGTGGACTTCTTCATTTAAAATAAAACCAAGCCCTAATTACTTTCCAAAACAGAATCACACAGGTAGCATTCAAAAATAGAAAATAGAAATGAAGCTCATCCTTCTTGCAAACAACATCTGCTGTGTGTTTCCTGCGCTCTGCAGGAGGCACCAAGCAATGGCTGCTTGAATCCTGACCTCTACCTGGAGGACTCCCTCGATCCTTCTTAGCATACTGAAGAGGTTGAGCTGAGGATGCCAAGGTCATGGAGGGACTTCTGACAAATCTCCAAGGACATTCCTGTGCTGGCTGTCAGTTCCTCCAGCAGAAACCCAAGACTCCACGTAACCCGCCGCTGCACAGAGTCTGCTCCCGCCTCGTCGTCCCCGGATCTCCCAGACAACCAGCAGCCCCTTCCCTGGGCTCCCCCGCCTGCTCCTCCAGCAGGCTCAGCACTGCTGGGAAAAGGGATTAAAAGAAAGCCAGGCTTCATGCAATTCATCTGCAGTCACAGGGAGTGGCTGACGAGGCAGGGGAAGCCAGATGAGCTCTGCCAGCCCAGCAGGTCAGCCCCACAGTGCCAGGCAGGGACAGCCAAGCAGGCTGGCTGGAAAAGGGGCACGCAGGGTGGCTTGCCCTGTACTAAAAGCTTGCATGGATACAGAATGAGGGGCACAACCAAGACAGGTCTCCCAGCAAACACAGGCCATGCTGATGCACTCTTGCTCTGCACTGGCAAAGGATGAGGGAAGAAAAGAGGAATTAAAGGTGTTTTTTAACCTTTTCAAGGCAGATAACTTTACCTGCTCATCCTGGCTAAGCCTCTCACAAGCAGATGACCACAACCTGTAGACCCAGGACACTGTTCATCAGGCTTTGATCTGCACAGGACCCGTCTGTGACAAGCACGCAGGCAGCCAGAGGCAGAGACAGGCAGAGTAGATCCCCATGGCAGCCACCTCCCTGGGACCAGCTGCTCATCCAGCACAAGTTCCCTTTAGGGACCCTCTCCTCTGGCCCTGCTGTCCCTGGGGGCCTTGCTGGTGCCAGAGCTGAAGGCAGCAGCTCTCTGCCAAACTGCCCAGCTGACCATCCCTGCTCTCCCTGGGACTGCTGTATCCTCTTCACCACCTGCCCACCACCCTGAGAGCCCTGCTGTGTGCCTGGCAGGACAGCACTAACCTTCCTGCAGTGCCCCCATGGACACGGGTGTTACAGCCCCTGCTCCCTGATGCAGTTCAGACCTGCTGCTTGGGAGGAAAAACCCAGCACAAGATCCTCATTTTCCTCTCCCATGCTGGCAGGAGGATGGACTTCAGCGGAATAACTTTTGCTTCTGCGTTTCCTGTGATCCATGGGAAGATGGATCCAGTGACCTCTATTCTATTGCTATCAGTCACAGCCACAATCCAGTGTGAAATGACACCTCACCGGGAACAAAGACGACGCTAAACCCACCCACCGCACAAAGGACAAGGCAGTGCAAGGCCAATGTGGGATCCTCCCCAGGGCATCAGTGCCATCCAGAACAAGCAGGCCCCCACAAGTGCCAGCACCATGGAGTTGATACCCTCCTTGTCCCTGGGGGGAGTGCTGGGGGTGGTAACACCTCAACCCTATTAGTCATGACATGGTAGAGTCTGGTGGTGCAGGCCTTGTGCTTGCAAAGGCATGAATATGCACAAAGATAAGTCTGGAAAGACAAAGCAGTGAATGCAGTCAATTCCTTTTGCCTTTCAGAGCCTGCTGGGTCTGAAGCATTAGTGAAGACTGAGAACAGCTCCAACTGTGCAAATCCAAAGGCACCCCAAACCTGTGCTATAGCTTTAAA